TAAATAAATATATAACGACAGTAAGATAAAACGAATGTAAATGAATTCAAGTAGAATCAAACCTCTTAGCTCGTACGAATGTATAATAGAATAACGCAAGAAACAGTGTAGATTATTACCAGATTGCGTACAGGTTAACTTTTAGAAAACTGGCCGATTTTTCAATGAGATCAACTTATATCGTGATGTATCACTATATGAAAAATATTCAAATATCTCATTATTTCATAAGTACTAAACGAGTAATCAGTTCTAATGAAATTGAATATTTCCTTAAATGGTGTGGCAGTTCGCAAAATTACAACGATTGGTTTAAATAAAAACGAGATTTCTCAGTTCCGGTATGCAATGTGTTAAAAAAAGGGAGCAATAAATAAAAAGGGGGAATCTCGATGGAACAAGCTATAATTCAGAAAATTTCGAATCCCCGGATTTGTCCTCGTTGGCACGCTAAACCGGCCGATCAACGTGTCAACCCCCGTTAGCCGTTCCACCCCCTGCAACGTGAAATCGCGGCAATCCGCGGGGCGCGCGAGGCAGAAGAAAATTTATACGGAAGATCAGCCGGACAATCGATGGCCGACGCGGCTAGAACCTTATTACATGCTCGAGTAACTTGGAGAGCGCGACACGCGATCAATTTCAGGCTTACGTTGGCCAGCCGGTGGAATGACATTCTTATTACGAGATCAGGAACGCGGCGGACGGGTGGGGGCAGAGGCTGGTCTCGATGCACGGGAATATTCGACGGCCGGAACGCAGGTAACGAACGAGGCCGCGAACAATGTACGAATAATTTTCTAAAGCCGCCTTTAAAAAGAAGTCCCCCGCGAGAACAAGGTATCATTAATTATATGCCCGTGTCCAGGCATGTTGGAATGCATATACATTAGCATAAGCCCGATACGCGCGATAGCCGTGTGTAGGTGTATACAAGCGTCCACGGCATGAAGCCGGTTGTTCGATTTTAGAAAATGAAAAAAGAATACGGGATGAAAAATAAAGGAGAACGAGAAACGAGAAAAACGAGACGGGAAAAGGGGAAGAGGCGGAGGAAGACGGAGAAACCGAGCGAGAGGAAGAAAGAAAACAGGCGAACGGGGGAAAAAGGATGAAGGCGAGAGGGGGGAAAGCGATCCTGTAAGGAAAGTAGTGCGCAGGATACTGCGGATGCTCTGTAATGCCGGCAGACAAACGATGTAGAACGCGCGTAGCTATCGTTGCCATTATTCTTTTTAGGGTTGG